CACAAAATGTATTACATGCCTAGGTCATTTAGGTATTAAATTCCAGGAGACTTAAACTATCAAGAATACTCTTTAAACCAGGGATGGTGGTGCATGCCTGTAATTCCAGCAACTTGGGAGTCTGAGGCAGGAGGACTGTGAGTTCAAAGCCAGTCTCACCAATTTAGTGAGGCCTTAAGCAAGTTAGTGAGACCCTGGCTCAAACTAAGGCATAAAAAGGGCTGGGGTTGTCACTGAGTGGTTAAACGCCCTTGAGTTCAAAAGCAAAACAAAACTAAAAACTCTCTTTTGGGGGTACCAGGTATTGAACCCAGGAGTGCATAAGCACTGAACCACATCCCCAGCCCTTGTTTCTATTTTATGTAGAGATAGGGTCTGGCTGAGTTGCTTAGGGCCTTACTAAATTACTGAGGCTGTCTTTGAACTTGCGATTCCCCTGTCTCAGCCCCCAAAGCCACTGGGGTTACAGGTATGCCCTGCCCCACCTGGTAAAATAAAACTCTAAAAGCACCTATGTAACTACTGCTGGATTAGTCAAATCTTAAGGTTTTGCTGTATTCTGCCCCACTCCCTAGACTGCATTCTCTTCTCATTCTCCTCTAGGGGAAAAAAGAATCCTCATCCATGGCAAAATGTGGTCTTTTCAAGAGCCCACTTCATTGTCAGTAAGGAACCTGCATCTCTCCGCGTGGTTTTTGTTGCTCTATACTTCAGATAAACTTTGCTAGTAATTAACTATAGATATAATCCCTGAAAGTAGTCTTTGATTTTGTAAGGGGGTGGTGATACCAGGGATTGAACTCAGAGAACTCAACCACTGAGCCAGATCCCCAGCCCTATTTTGTATTTTGTATTTTTTTTTTTTTTTTTTTTAAGAGACAGGGTCTGTCTGTGTAGACAAGAGTTGCTTAGATCCTCGCTAAGTTTCTGAGGCTGGCTTTGAACTCCAATACTCCTGCCTTGGTCTCCCAAGCAGATGGGATTGCAGGAGTGTGCCACCGCACCACAAGGGCTGATTTGTTTTTGTTTGTTTGTTTTTAAATGAGATAAAAGAACTACAGGTGGCCGTCAGTTTAAAATGTCAAGAATTAGGCCTATGTATATTTCTCCTGCATTTTCCACTACACTTGCTATGGGGTGGGAATTGTGTCCCACCAGCCTGACACATTGGCCCAAGTTTGTAATCCCAGCAACTAAGGCAGGACGATCTTATTTGAGGCCAGCCTGGGCAATACTGGGAGACCCTGTCCCTCCAAACAAACAAAACCCTACAACTAACTTTAGTGTTTGCTGGAGGCAAAGGGAAAAGATAGTGGGAAAAGAACAGTGGTTACAAATATTAATTACCTCCAGGTGACCAGTTACAGCAACAAGGACTAATAAATCTTGCGTATTTATTCATTTATTGATACCAGGGATTGAACGCAGGAGCACTTAACCATTGAGGTACATCCCCATCCCTTTTTTTTTTTTTTTTTTTTTTTGTATTTTATTTAGAGTCAGGGTCTCACTGAGTTGCTTAATGCCTCTCCTTTGCTGAGGCTGGCTTTGAACTCGTGATCCTCCTGCCTCAGCCTCTTGAGTTTCTGGGATTACAGGTGAGCACCTAGGTTTGGGCGTCCAGAGAGGGGAGCACAACTGTGCTGTGGCTAGCTTCAAACTCTCTTCACCTTAAGTCACCAGAGTTCCTCTGCAGGGCGTGGCCCCGCTAGGTCATCAAGCAGGTCTTCAGTTCTGCAACCAGGGGTGGTCAACAGTTTCCCTGTTCTCCGGAGTGACACAGTGACAGAAAGCAGGGACCAGAGAGAGAAGAGCACAGCACAGGTTCTAGCCTAGGTGGCGACAGCCTTGTGGATAGTGGAGAGATGGCCCAGATAAATCACCAGCAACTCAAATCTGTCACATTAAGAAAGGAATATTTATTCGAGGAAAAATATGTCAAGTTATTTCCCAGTGGGAAATAAAAAGTCTCCGCGGGAAGGTGAGGAGGGGAGGTGGCAGGCTTGGATTTCTCTGTATTATTTTCAATACACCAAAAGCAGCAAAATTGCACGTGTTTCCCGGTTTCTAGTGACTGCTAAGTCTGGAGAAAAGGCAATATTTGTGTTTAACATTTTTGTGTTCTACCCTCAAGTAAACCAGAGACGATGGAAAACATTTTAAGTTAGTGAAAAAGAGAAAAAGAAAGGTCGGTCGTACATGAAAGTCAGCCGGCAGGACAGTTAGAAGTGTAGCCAAAGAGAACCTTCAGCTGGAGTTTCCAGGAATTGGTGTCACAGAACTAAGTCAGTAGAGACAAAAGAAAAACAAAGCACAATGATCTTCCTGGCAACATATTTAAAAAATGAAGAAACAAAAACTGCAAATAAATAATAACTCAAGTATCCAAATTTAGAAGAATTGCTTAATAATTTACAGAATTGTCATCAAATTTTAGATACTCATTAAAATGATAAAGTCGGTAGAGTCATATTTCTACTACGATGATGAGCGACAACAATGGAGTACAGGATTAGGGACATCACTGGCAAATAAAAGTTAACTTGCCACAAATGAAAATAATGGGGTAGTATAGTGACCACAAATCACTATCATTACTTTAAAAACGATTTGGTTATTTCTACACTCTTTCCAACAAAGAGCATTTATTGCCACAAATACATTTTCTGAACAAGAAGTGGAAACTGTTAGTGAACAATTTCTGTTAGGATACCTAAAATGTCTATGAAATTAGGACTATTTTTGTTGGTCGATTTGATGAGAACAGTAAAAATGAAATAGTGCCCAAATTTGTTTTTAGGAGACATTCATGCACTTTAGGAAAAAGTGTAACAGAAAAATACTATGTTTTTATTTTTTCATTTAATATAAAGATTAGGGCTAATGTTTCCTAATTTGGAAAAGTACTGATTGACCCCGACGTGATTTGAACACGCAACCTTCTGATCTGGAGTCAGACGCGCTACCGTTGCGCCACGAGGCCTCCCAGAACCCGGCGCCGGACCGGTATCGTGAACAGATTTATCGTCAGCAACGAAAGGCGGAGCTCTATCCTTAAACTCCGCCTTTGAGATTTTAATCTGTGCTGTTCTTTCAGCCTCCGGGAGAGGGGAGGGGTCGAGATGAGCGCGCACGCGCAAGGCAATCAAACTCATTCTGATGAAGAGACAAATTGTGTTCAAGTGAGTTTGGCTTAAGGTCCAATTCTTTAACCTTGGGACACATTGAATTCACTCAATAGAGAAGCGATATCAATGTGTTTGGGAATTTTTTTTTCCTGGAAATCATGTCATCACAGTGTCAGGGTAGTCCTCGCCTCCGGAAGAAATCTTACACTTAATCCTGGCTTTGCCGCTGACTCACAGAGCCGCTTTAATTAGCTTCTCTGGGCTTTGGTTTCCTTATCTGTAATTCAGATTGGGCATAATTCCACATTGTCACGCGGGTGAAGGCGCGCATCAGCAGTGACCAGAACCGAGTGTCCCTTAGGTGTGCGCCCAGCACACTAATGCTGCGCAAACTCTACCGTTTCTAGCTCTGAATGAGTCTTTTAGGTGGCTCGAATAGACCTTAAAGAACCCCTAAAACAAAATGTTACCGTCTGCGTTGGTGGTATAGTGGTGAGCATAGCTGCCTTCCAAGCAGTTGACCCGGGTTCGATTCCCGGCCAACGCAACTTTTTGTTTTTTAATTTATTTATTAGTATTTCACCCCCTTGCTCCCCAGGGTATCACCCTGGTGTTTAGGGTTGGCCTTGAGGCACACTCTCCTCGGCCTGGGACTCTGGCCGCGATGTCCTGCTTGTTCCCTCCCAACGAGAAGACCCTACTTACCGTGCGGCTAGGGACTGGAGACTGCAGATCGCGCTACGAACCCACAGATACAGACGCAAGGAGGCCAAAGGGAACCAAACCTATCCTCGGCATCTGGGACCCTGCGGCGCGGCTCGCCGAGGCTGGGAAACTAAGCTGCTCAGCTCAGCTACAAGCTATGACTGGAGATGCCCATTTGGATAAGTAGGAAGCAAATTCAGGGGTTCCTGTCTGACCGAGTATTACGTGAGCTGTTTCATGCTGTTTGCCCATCTGTGTTTGCTAAGTTCTCATCAAAGAATTCACCTAATGCACATATTGAGTAGGGAGAATAATGGCAAATGTAGCTATACGTTTAAATTGCAAGTTACTTAAGTAAAATGCAAGCTGGCACTTAAAACGTTCGCTCCGGAGTCAGAATGAGCTTCCTCTTTTTCTTTGGGACTTATTCTCAGGGCACAGACGGATTTTTACCAAATGAGTGGGATTTCATGGATAGAAAAATAGAACACGGAGAACACAAAAACAGACAGCTTCTCCCCGTCGGGGAATCGAACCCCGGTCTCCCGCGTGACAGGCGGGGATACTCACCACTATACTAACGAGGAGTGAGCTACGCAGGACCCTTTCCGTATCCTTGATCTGGGATCTCGAAGGCGCTTAGCACGCTCATGGAAGGGTTTTGGAGGTTTGCCTTTTCAGTTTAGACCTCAACTGAACACGAGTCTTTACAAAGGCGGAAACAAGCAGGAGTTACCGAAAAAGAGAACCTGACTGTCCACGCACACCCTGAATTGCTCCCATTTCCTTCAATCTGTCATTCACAACTGGAGGTTAATAAGCATCATTCAAATTGAAAGATGGCTCTAGTGGACGAGGTAAGGCAACAAGATGAGAAACGGGAAACCAGCAGAATGCTTGCGTTTTGTCTAAGTCTGGACTACCTCTGCTGTCCCTGACAACCCAGTTAGGACTACGCAGTAAGTTTCTTCCTGCCACCGGATGTCCACTCAGAACAAAAGAGCTCACTGCACACGGAGCAGTCGACACGGATCATTTTCCAGTTCAGTTTACCGAGCCACTAAAGGTCAAACAAAAAGCCAAAGACAGGGCTCGTCCGGGATTTGAACCCGGGACCTCTCGCACCCGAAGCGAGAATCATACCCCTAGACCAACGAGCCGACGTACTACGCTGCCCGCGACCGCCCTTAGAGGTCGTATCACACTTGCTGCGGTCCTGAGGACATCATCCTTGGCTGAGACACGCAGGCGTGCTGCTAGGAATCATTCTCCCCAAAGCAGTACTCTAGGACAAGGGTTTAAGAAATCTCTTGGCTGCTGGCCCAAGAGCTCCGACTCCTCCCAGGAAATAGCGTCGAGGAAGTGGGTGGGAGTGGGCTCGGCATCGACCTGAAGTTGCTTTCAAGTTCTGCCTGGAACATCGGTTCCAGCTCCTGGTGGTCACCAACAGTTTTTTTGAAAGAGAAGATATTTGAGGACCATCCCTCATCCTTTCCGCCTCCTCCCGCAGCCGCAGTCCTCGGGCCCACCTCCCCATTGTAGAACTTTGGGGACAAGCCTGGTTTCGGGATGGGTTTGGGGCAGTTATTGAGTACTAAAATACCTAAGTGAACACCAGCCAGCCCCTCTCGTCTTTCTTGCGTTTGGTGTAACTTACTGGGGTGGTCCGCAGGACATGCCCCGGCCTAGACTCGTCAATAGCCCACAGTGTCCCTACACGGGTGACAGGGCCCAGGTGACAAAGACAATGATTCCTGGGGCCAAGAAGACTGACGGAAGAGGTTTCATAAGAGCTGGTGTGGTTGGCGGGTCTGGCTTTCCAACCTCCAGAGTGGGTTGAGATACCAGGTCTTGTAACCAAACCAAAACTTCCCTGGACACCCTTACCAATACTAATCCTAGGGCTTTCAGCCTGTAGGATCAGGTTACCCCTTAACCTCTGATCTAGCAATGGCTCTGTCTGTCACCTAAGACTTCTAGAAGGTAAAGAGCTCTAAGACAAGTACCACACAAGTGTAGCCCAAGGCCAGGTAGCCCAGCTTTGAGGCCTGGAAGTGTCCCTTGGGCTACCCAGTGAGCCTCTAATTTCTTGGTGCACTCACCACTGCTCCTTCCGAGTTTCAACCAGATCAACCGGGGTCAGTTACAGTCCAGCTTCTTGGGCCTTCCTTCAGCTCAGTGCCTGTCCCAGGGAATCCCCTAGGCCTGACTTTGACCTTCAGCGGCCCTGCACCAACCTGATAGCATCCATTGCTTGTTCCATAGCCAGTCCTGTGATTTGTGGGGCCACGCCCTTCTTAATAACTCAACCCACAGACACTTTGGTGGGGAGGACTTCAAAGAAGGGTTCAGGTCTTTTTTTTTTTTTTTTTTTCTCAGATGTCCCCAGGCAGCTTAATCTTTCCCATTAGAGTTGCAAATCTTTAAGATGGTTCTCGAGGTTCTCCCAGTGATCTTGGTGCCTCCTTTCCCCAATCACTTTCCCATTCTGGTCTTTCTTCGCTGGGCTCCCAGGCTTCCTAGCTAAATTCTCCAGTCTTTCTTCCCTCACCTGACCTCAGGCACTGAATCTCCGCAAGGAAGGGACCAAAATCCTTCAAGACCAATAGTAAAAGTTGTGATTCCCTCCTCCTAGAAAAGTGCATACTATAGTGAATAAGAATGTCGATGGTCAGTTTTATTCATACACAGGAACCACACTCCCAGGCTAATGAGTAAACACCTTAATGAGCACCATCAATGCCTATTTCAAATGTGAAAGACTTTGAGGCTCCACTGTGGGTACACCTCCAGCCAACTCTTTTGTCTCAGAGCTGGAAAAACCGGAGTTGGGAGTGAACTCAGGTGGAAGTTATAGGAAGGAAGATGGGGGTGAATCTGGATAGAAAGAAAGATGATATAGCCTTGATATTTTTTCAATGCCTATTTTACATACATTTTGCTCCATGCTCTACCCTGAATCATATTTAAACTCCTAAGCTGGCACACCAAAATGGGCTTTACTGCTCTCAAGACCCCTACCATATGGCAGGGGTTCTATCTCTTCTCTCTTCAAATATATCCAACTGTGTTTACTAGGCCCTCAGTGATTGTCCGTGAATTTTTTGTTTGTTTGTTTTTTAGTTGTATATAGACACAATTCCTTTATTTTATTTATTTATTTTTATGTGGTGCCGAGGATCAAACCTAGTGCCTCACAGGTGCTAGGCATGGTCTCTACCACTGAGCTATAATCCCAGCCCTGTCTGTGAATTTTGTTCTTAAAAATTTGTGAGACAAGAACCCAGAGGAAATTGGCAAAGCCATGAATCTAATCTCATCTCAAAACTTCAGTTTCAATAGTGGGAAGGACTCCACTTTCAGAATCCAAAGAGTAAGGTGTAAACAACTGGTCATTGTTTCAATTGGAAGCAGTTTACTTTTTTCTTTTTTTCTTTTTATATTTCACATTTTAACAGAAGTCAGAAATTTACACTGAAAGATCCAATTCTAAGATTTAACTTCAGGCAGTCACAGTTTTTTTGAAAGAGAAGATATTTGAGGAGCTCAGTGCTTCCCAGGAGGATGCGGGTATCCTCCTGAAGTTTTTCCTTTTCAGATTCCACATCCTGTCAGTTACTAAAGCCTATTATTCAAAATCCTAAATGTCTTGAAGTCATCTCTACAACTGCCCTTGCAAGCTTTGGACATTTCTGTAAGCAACACCTGCCCCGACCCCACATGCTCTGATTGTAACATTTATGTACCATATTATATAATTTAGTGAAATATGTTTTTTTKTGTGTGTGTGTCATCCCAGTCCCATAAACTCCAGCAGGGCAGGTCTCCTCTCTTTGCTTCCTGCTGTATTCCCAGGTCTCACAACACTGCCTGTTTTGCTGTAACTATGTAATGGAAAGTTTCTACTTGGTCATAAGACTTGGCTCACCTCCTCCAGAAAGCCTTCCCTGACTATCCTCTACCTTCAGACTGGAGGAGATGCCACTTTTTTCCCCTATTCTGAGAACACCCTGTTATTTCTGCTGTTTACGGGTGAGGAGTCCTTGTTTCCCCGAAGGCTGAAGTATAACACCAGAGAAGTACGCCGAGGCAAGTGAAGAGTGGAAAGTAGAAGCTTTATTAAAGGACAGCAGAAAAGACTTCTCCCGGAAGAAGAAGAGGACAGAGAGGTGGAATCCATGGAAGCGGGAGGTCTTCCCTTTTTTATAGCTAAGGTCTTCTTTTGGCTTTCCCACATTCATGTCTTTTGTTTCCCTTTATCTTGCAGTGATAGAATGCACGTGGGAAGGTCAAAAGGTGGGAAATAGGTGGGCTGAAGGAGTAATCTGGGCAGGAAGGGCCTGGGGTGGTTTTTGATTATCACTTTTTCGTTTGCTGTGAGCTGCTTTATTAACAGTTCCTTAGGATGGATTCCTGGCCTTGGGGACATTAACATTTCAATTTCCAGCAAGTGCTGCTCTGGTTTCCTGGACTCCATTCTCAATAATGTGCTCCATTTTCTTTATCTTACTCAATATTAGACCCGATTTACCTAACTACACTAACTATCTATCCTCAAATCTGGCTTCACTGTCCGGCCCTTAGCACTTTATGTTGTGATTGCTGTCTTCTCAAGAGCTCTGAGAAAAGGGTCTGCTTTATGCATGTGTTTACACAGTGTTTGCCAGTGTTGCATACAAATGTGGTCTGGATATCTTGCTTGAGGTGGAGACAGCAATTCTTCCAGGTCAACATTTTTACTCAGTATCTCACAACAGATCCTGGGCCAAGGAAATGCTGGGCCTTCGGACACACCACAGGTCTGCCTTCTCTGGGTCCTGCCACCGTTCACTCCTACCTTCACCAGCCCTGCCTCAGGGCTCCAGGAGTGTGTCCTGCTGTCCATACCAGGTTCCCTGGAAACTGCACTGGCAAGGCACTCTTTTCTACTTCCTTTCCTTGTTACAAGGCCAATTCATGCCAATTTAATAATGAACACACAGTTTTGAGAAAAAAGAAAAAGAAATTTTATTGCTTTGCTAGCAACAGAGAAACACAGGGGACTCCATCCAGTCCCTGAGGCAATGATTCTGCCCATCAGGGAAAGAAAACAGACAGCTTTTTAAAAAGCTCTTCAAAGGCTACATTCCAGAACTGTTGGGGGTCCTGGGGTCACCCTGATGGTGTGTTTGTGTTAGGATACACTAGTTAATTTGGGAGATAGTCACTTCCTAATTCTTCTGGTGACATCTCCTTCCTGTGGAGAACTGATAACTCAAGGTAATCTATTCCCTTGAGATGGATTCCAAGTTAGGGAGTGGGAGAGGAAAAGAGGAAAAGAAAAAAGCAAGTCAAAAGGTAAAGTGGGCCACTGTCACTCCTCATAGTTCCAGTTCTTGGAGGACTTCTTTTAGGAAACCAGATAGCTCCGGGCCAAAGGAAATCTTGCTAGTGGACCCAGACTTTCTGCTTGTGGAGAGCTAGCGATAGAGGTAACTACACGTGAAAGGCCCAGTTACCTACAAGTCGCACCACATTTTAAACATATATTTTTAAAATATGTATATTTTACAATACATAAAATACATATAAAATAATGAGGCCTCAAGACAAAAGAAATATAATTTAGTACCAAACAAAACCAAGTGGCTCAAATTCTAGGAGACCTCCTATAGTAGAAGCAATTTGGATGGTAGGGGAGCTGCCGGGCTAGCCCACTCCGCCACTGGGCTGTAGCACCCGCCAGGCAAAAGAAAGTCTGGCGGGCTGCGCCGGATTGCCAACAGGTGAGAGGGCCAGCTTGGGAGCGGCGGCCCACCAGGGCACCGGGATGCTCTGAAACCCTTGAGTTCTCTGATAGAAAAATAGTCCTTTAGGGTCTCCTCATTAAGTCACAAAACAGACGAATCCTGAAACCCTCCCACCCAACTGAATAAAGGCACCGCTGGGATTCGAACCCAGGATCTCCTGTTTACTAGACAGGCGCTTTAACCAACTAAGCCACGGCGCCTGGGATAGTATTGCCTTTCCCTAACAAGCACTACAGGAATATAGCATTCGCGTCTATACATCTTATGCAAACTCAATGGAAATCAACTGGACTTTGGAAACAGATTACTTCCACCTGATTCCGGAAAGGGCAGGGAAATACTTTGAAACATAGCAAGAAGTGAGCAGTTGGGGCGCTTCTCATATTCTAGAATTCTGAGATAATGGTATTTGGAGAGTGCCGATTGGATTAGAGGGTCTCCTCGAGCAAGAGCAAAAACTACACGTAGTCGGCAGGATTCGAACCTGCGCGGGGAGACCCCAATGGATTTCTAGTCCATCGCCTTAACCACTCGGCCACGACTACMCGCCTATGTAAAGTTCTTTCTGTGCCTTTCTTAGTTCCCCCACGTCACAAGCACTATGCTCTTTGTTACTGTTTTTATTCCAAGCCTATTAGGACTGAGACAGGACCGCGAAAACGACAGAATCAAATAGAATTGGAGTCAGCCTTTGCCTTCCGGCCCCGCCTTTTTGGAGATCTTCTCCATTCTCCCAACAGCCTCCGATAACTGAGCCTCCCGGAAGAGGACGCGAAGATGCCTGTGTGGGTCTCTTTCCAGTTCCTGGAGCGCTGTAGGAAGTTGTTTTGAGAAACAGTAGGTGTAACGCTCGGTGATCAAAAAGCTCCGAGGTGGGGCAGGAGTATTTCAGGGCCGAAGATTGAGGAAAATCAGAAAACTCTGGCCCGTACGGGGATCGAACCCGCGACCTTGGCGTTATTAGCACCACGCTCTAACCAACTGAGCTAACCGGCCAGACATGCCCTATTTGCTCCCCGCTTCTCCACTTCTGGTATTCTGTTAGGGAAGGAGCAAATCCAGCCAAAACATGGAAATCACAACCTTGGCGAGTCAAATTAAGATACCCCAATGCCGACTGAAGCCTATCTAACAGCCAAGAAGAAATGCTCTTTAAGTGCTGTAAAGGGGCTTTGCCCTACCTCTCCACCTAGAAGCAAGCAGCTCTCAGCTGAAATGAGAGAACAACAAAACACGTGCAGATCATAATTCTATCCGTTGGTTTGGATGTTCCTGATCTCCTCTTGGGTCAAACGATATACCGAGGCCCTGGGGAAACCCACCGTGCTGACCCTTTATGTGGAGTCTTGACAGTGGAGGAATCCAGAGTCTTCACATGCTCCTCCTAGTGCTTGATGCTTCCCTCCCCACACCCATGCTGTACTTCCCAGTGTCTCTAGGCTCTCATACTTCACTTTTCCCCAGGCCCAGCCTTGCTGAGAGCACCATAGCCATATTCTCCCAACTGCCCTCCACTCCTCAATTTACTCCCTGTGGGATCTGACTTTGGTATCAGTCTGCTGGACCAGAAGCTCTTCTACAAATCGCTTTCCACAATAGTGTAAACAAGGGGTTGAAATGATGAACAAAGGTGCTATAGCCACCAGGGAGTCAGAGAGATTGAGACTGTAGAGATGAACCTAAATGAGAAATGTCCCCAGAGTGCTTTATTGCAGGTCAAAGAACCTGTCACAACATCCTCACAAGGAGCAAGCCTTTTCTGTTCCTCTAGTTCCTGCCACAAAGGAAGATCAAAATGCTTAGGTCCACCTGTGAGTGCAGATGCCTTGACTCTCAAGCAAAGGAAATATCAATAGTGCAGGATTTGCTGTTCCCACAATGTTCCTGAGACAGGCTGGCACCAGAATAAAAGAAATTACAGTGGGGTAGCAGCTGGTGAATCCAAGGATGTGGGGAGTGGCCACAACCACTCCAGGGGGAAAAAGGCCTGAATCCTTCCCTAAGGAAGAATTTTCTGATGATCCTTGTGGTTCAGGTTAACAAGAGGAAGCAAAAGCCCCCAAAGAGATGGGGTACTCTTACTCCTGGATAGAAAGACAGGCCAGTCGGAGCCTGGGATTCACCCGAGTCAGGAGAGGCTCTCCACATTGGAACCGCTGTAGCCGAGGAGGTTCTGAGATTGGAAGAGAAGAAAAACAAACACCACACATGTGGTTTTTAGTATCCACTCACCACTCTTCTCCCCAACTCCAAAAATTCCCTATTGACTCTTTATGCCTCCTCCCTGGGACCCATTTATCTGCACCACCCTTACCTAATGGAGTAATATTAGAGGGTTTCCTCTCAAGCTCAAAAGAAAGCACAATGGGGCGGAGGACAGAGGGGCTGGTACAAAGTGTGTGGAGGTAGAGTGTCAAAGGATCCTCAGTCTTAGCTGAAGACTAGAAAAGGAAACTCCGGGTTAGTCAGAACTCAAGCTCCCAACCTTTTACCAAAGTCCCAGGAAGCTGGGTATCTGAGCCCCTACCTTCCAGTCACATCTCACCTCTAGTTGGGCTCCAGGTTCCATAAATTGCAAGACTACTCTCCCTGGCTTTCGGACAAATTCTAGGAGGGAGGACCACTCATTAGCACACAACCCTAGTGCTGCTGCCACATGATAATCTGTACAGGTCACCATAGCTTCAGCAGTCCCATCCTCTACCAGAAGCCTGGGGGAGAAATAAAAAACTCCCAAGTGGTCAATCTCCTGGATCCAACACACCTCCCTCCCCATCATTCCCAATCTTCAGCTCAGTGTACCCTCATTCATTCTAAAAATATTTATTAAACAATTCCCATGAGCTAGAAATTATGCTAACTCAGAGAAGCTGTTTAACAAGGGAGTAAAACAGTGTGATAGGTGCTCACCTGATGCTGGCTTGGCTTATAGATGCCTGAGTGAAGCAAGTGGGACCCTGACGAAGGCACTTTCCCTGGGATGAAAAAAGTGGTTAGAAAAGTCCTCTTTGTCCCATCACGTCCCTCTGACATTGCACACCCAGCTCATCCTGTTCCCCTCCATACCTGGGGGCAGACACTGGTACAATGAGCACACACCCACTGGAGCTGGAGGCTGACAACAGAAACAACATGGCAAGAAGCAGTGGCCTGGAATGGGCCCCAGCTACTCTGCCGAAGTTCAGCCAGGTAGATGTGAGGCAATGGAGCACTATGGAAACAGAGAAAGAGATGGATCAAGAAACAGGCAGAGGGCTGGGGATGTGGCTCAAGCTGTAGTGCGCTCGCCTGGCATTCGTGCGGCCCAGGTTAGATCCTCAGCACCACATACAAAGATGTTGTGTCCGCCGAAAACTAAAAAATAAATATTAAAAAAATTCTCTCTCTCTCTCTCTTTCTCTCTAAAAACAAAAAGAGAAAGAAACAGGCAGAAGGAACTAGACATGGTAGAATGTGCCTTTAATCCCAGCAAGATGAGGCAGAAAGATCAAAAGTTCAAGATAAACTTGAGCAACTCAAAGCAAGACCCTGTCAAATAATAAAACATAAAAAGGTATGGAGATATAGCTCAGTTGTATAGCACCCTGAGTTCAATCCAAGGGGGGAAAAAAGAGAGAGAGATAAAAAGAAAAAAAAAAAAAACAGGCAGAAATTAGCAGCCATGGGGATGGAGATAGTTGTGGGTTCCATGTTCTCCTGGAAACCTTATGGCCCCCCCATCCCAATTTTGATTCCTCATCTCCAACAGTCACCAATTATTTATCAGTCTTGAACATAAGATGTTAGCCAAGAAAGAGATATTTACATTTTAGACTGAAAATCCTTCCAAAGTCTAGAATGTTAAATCTTTCTAGGTAAAATTACAGGTATTGGGCATTCTTTATTTGGGATATAAGGAATCCTTCTGACTCAACAGTCATACTGTGATAATGGCAGAAGTTCCAGAGCCAGAGACATGAGTGGGATGTGGGTGTGAGGTCATGAAGTTTAAGAGTCAGGACCTTGGGCTGGGGATGTGGCTCAAGTGGTAGCGCGCTCGCCTGGCATGCGTGCGGCCCGGGTTCGATCCTCAGCACCACATGCCAGCAGAGATGTTGTGTCTGCCGAGAACTAATAAATAAATATTTAAAAAAAAAAAAAAAAAAAGAGTCAGGACCTAGATACTGACCTGACTATGGTCTCCGGGGGAAAACTCAGGACCTGCACGTAAGTGGATGACCGGAAGCAACAATAAACATTGTGGGATCTGCAAGAATAGAGAGGGTGAGGAGAAAGTAATCAGAATAGGGTGGGAGCTGGGATTCATGGACCACAACTTATAAGTTGGCTACTCCCCGACTCCCAGGGATGTACTCTGGATCCAGCTCTACCACAGCAAGAGGAATAAGAGAAGGACTGGTCTGCAATATCTCAAGAAGGTGGAAGGCATTTACAACAGACTAACACTGAAAGAAATGGCAAAGAGAAGCTGTCCTTATGCACAGTTTGTGGAGGTTAAGTGTTCAAGAGAAGCACCTAAGTAGGAGAGGAGATGTGACCACACAACACAGATTTTCACCTGGAAACCCTTTTCTCCAGTTGATAAAAGTATACTCGAGCTCCTGGGAGAAGTCCTAGTGGGGGAGGCAAGTGTGGGTCTTCAATATATATGTCCAGGCGAGGGGGGAATTCAGAGTCAACAGTCTCTATAGATACAGTTAKCTTCACACACCTTCTTACATCCTCAGTGTTCCCTACAGAAGAAGGGGAGGGTGGCTAGTGGGATCTGTCAGGGCACAAGGTCCCATCATTTTATCATACTTTGCTCCTGAAGGAGCAGTCATTACCAGGCTTTGCGTGCAAAGGGGCTGAAGTGACTCACACATTATCCGTGACAAAATCGCAGCTGAGAAAGACACCAAGGAATCAGTGAGGCTGGAAGGTAAAAGAAATACGCTAGGAACAGAGGTACAAGACCATATAGGACATAAAGGGTCAGTCCAAAGAACAGAAAAAGGAGCGACAGTATCAGCTGAAATATTACAAATAAGATCCCTAGAATACCTTGAGCTCTGCCAAACTCTTCACTAAAACAAGATGTGTGGGAAAAACAGGGTTGTGGCAGTGCATTCAAATCCTGTACAACTCTGTGATGACGCACCCCTATAATCCCAGTTACTTAGGAAGTTGAGGCAAGAGGATCACAAGTTCCAAGCCAGCCTAGGAAATTCAGCAAGACCCTGTATGAAAATTTAAAAAGACTGGGGACACAGTTCAATAGTAGAGGACCCTGGGGCTGGGGATGTGGCTCAAGCGGTAGCGCGCTTGCCTGGCATGGGTACAGCCCGGGTTCGATCCTCAGCACCACATACAAACAAAGATGTTGTGTCCGCCGAAAACTAAAAAATAAATATTAAAAATTCTGTCTCTCTCTTCTTTAAAAAAAATAGTAGAGGACCCGTGGGTTCAAATCCCAGTAATGGGAAAAAAATTTTTTTTTAATTAAAAGAAAGAAACTGACATAACTTTGGAAGCACAGGCTTTACCAAAGACTTTTCCTTCTATCACCACTTGTATTTCCATCTAGAATCTCAGTCTGTCATTTGAGCCTTGGGGTTCAGGCCCCCTCCCTAAAAATATAGGTCCTTGGAAACATTCTTTTTTTGGTGTGGTACCAGGGATTGATCCCACAGCTTGTTAGGCAAATGTTCTACTACTGAGCTTCATCCTCATCTCAAAAAATTCACTTCTGGGGCTGGGGATGTGGCTCAAGCGGTAGCGTGCTCGCCTGGCATGTGTGCGGCCCGGGTTCGATCCTCAGCAGCACCACATACCAACAAAGATGTTGTGTCCGCCAAAATTCACTTCTTTTTTGGGGGGCGGGAGGTACAGAACATATAGAACAAGACTGAACACAAGGGCACTTAACCATTGAGCCACATCCCCAGCCCTTTTTATTTTGAGACAGGGTCTCGCCAAGTTGCTTAGGGCCTCCTGCCTTAGTTTCCTGAGCCATTGAAGGTTACAGGTATGTGCCACTATGCCCAGCTCAAAACATTCACTTCTTATTTTTGTTTTTGGGGGTGTTTTGTGGTTGTTGTTTTTACACATATATGACATTATACATATATGGAGTATAATTTATTCAAATCAGGATCCCATTCTAATTATGGATCTCCATGATGTGGAGTTTCACAGGTGGTATACGAACATAGGAAAGTTACATCTGGTTCATTCTACTGTCTTTAAACATTCACTTCTAATAGATTAATTTCACAAAAATTACAGACAACCCAATGGGATTTTTTTAATACAGGGAGAAATTTCTCCACAGCTTTTTCATTTGTACTTGCAATTACCCCACAAAGCTTATACCAGGATTACTGTTTTTCCTGCAGCCATCAGCTGGCTACTTCTTGCACTAAATGAAGGTCCTTCTCTGTATTTTCAGCACTTTTCCTTATACTTTTGGAGGTTTTTCATATTGCTAAAGCTTTTCCTTAAGTGTAAGAATACCTGGCTTGTGATCATTTCCAAATCTGATGCACTTGGGGAAAAACTCAGTATGAAACACAATTTCCCTCTTGCACTGACATTACCCCTCTACCACATAAATCACATTAAAGAAACATGTTGCCCCACATGGTGATACATGCCTGTAATCCAGCAGCTAGGGAGGCAAAAGGATCACAAGTTCAAAGCCAGCCTTAGCAATTTAGCAAGGCCCTAAGAAACTTAGCAAGATCCTATCTCAAAATAAATAAATAAAAAGTAGTTAAGTGCTGCTGAGTTCAATTTCTGATAYCAAAAAAGAAAAGAAACAAAACATGTTAGTTGGGTGTGATGGTACACCTGCAATCCCAGATACTTAGGAGGATCAGGCAGGAGGACCACTTAAGCTCAGGAATTCTAGGTTGAAAAAGAGAACAGACTATTTACCAAACCCAATAAACATGGAGCATGGTCAAATTAACTGAAGGGGCTGGTGGACATTTACTTGGCACTAAGCAAGTTGGTTAGCGAGGATTCAGGCAATGCTTTGGGTATTCCCAGAACATCTGGAGAGCTCTCAAGCTCCAGGGTCCACTCATCCTGGACGGTGAGGCAGGACACACAGCCAGCCAACTCCAGAGGACGCTGAGATGTGCAGGATGACTCTTCCACCTCGAACAACTTTGGTGTCTGCCAGGAAATGGGAAGACTGCCTCTGAGTATGTGCTGGGCAAGAGATGGTTCACAAAAGCTTCCAATGTTGCTTTCTTTCTAGAGCCTGGTGAAGGAAAGGATCTCAACGTAGAGATGCCTTCTAGGTCATCTAAACCCAGCCTTCTTCTAGGAGAGCTGGAAGGGCTAGTATACCCTTTTAACTCCACCCCAAACACAACTTTCTAGGGAAGGGTAAGATGAAATAGGGCACTCACAGCAGGGCCAGGAGCCACAAATCGGTAAACCTGCCCTGGGTGCAAAAACTCAAACCAGCGGACCGAAGAGCCAAGGAAGATGAGAAGAACCTGTGAGGAAGGACAGCAGGGTGCTGAGTCCCAGCCTAGAGCTCAGTGTAGGGAAAGTTAAGTCCTAGAGGCCAGTTTACCTTCTGATCCTTGCTCTCATCTGTCAGGGGCTCAGGCGGGCCCCAACCAGTCCCCTCCTTCCTCTGGGTGCCCCCAAGCCAACAACCTGATACATGGAAACTGAGGGTGGGCTTGGGCAACCCTGAGGTGGCTCCTGAGGAGGCACAAAAATTCCGCTTCATGAGGGCCTCTTTGTGGGACAGCAAGAATAGTCGGCTCTGTCCTATGTGGGGTCCCTCTACACCGGTAGACTCTGTCTGAGGAGGTGCTGAGGAGTGATGAAAGGATCTGGGCACAGGAAGGATCAGGGCATCCTCCAGAAAGAACTGGACGTAGACTCTGTTGGGACAGAGAGAAACAGTGATGTAGGCATTGGATGTTTTTCTCTTTTTTTAAAATGGTACTGAGAATTGACCCCAGGAGTGCTTTACCACTGAGCTATATTCCCACTGTCCCCCAACCCTTTTTTAAAATTTGAGTCAGAGTTTTGCTAAGTTGCTTAGGACCTCACTAAGTTGCTGAGGCTGTTCTGAAACTTGCAATCTTCCTGCCTCTGCCTCCCAAGTCTTGGAATTACAGGTCTGTGCCATTATGCCCAGCCATTGGGTGTTTTCGGCCTCAATATCCCCCAACCTGCACCAGACCCTTCCTTCCTCTCAGACTTAAGAGGACAGTCACTAACCCAAGAAGCCCACCTGGACTGTTGTTTCTGGATGAAACCAGTCATGCCTAGCTCCTTCCAGGAAGGGAAGTTGCTTCTGATGTCCCTCTCTACCACCAACTGGAACTTCTCTGTCCGTATCAGGCAGCCTAGAAGAAAGTCTCTATTTTTGCAAGAAAAGAGAACTGCTCCCCTAACTTGTGAAGGTCCACAAGTGACCACCAGCCCTCAACTCCCTAGAGGGGTGATACCTCCAGGGAGAAACCATCCCATCTGCATGTACAATCCTGTCCCTGGCCTTCCAGTTGAAAAGGCTTTGATTGTACTTTTACACAAATCTTGAAAATGCCAAACAAAATTTCTTCTCCAGGGTTGCCCTGTATGTATCTCCAGTAAGCCAAATAAAACCATTATTTTTCCAAATTAAGAATATTATAAACAAGAATTGTAATTCTGGTGTGTGCTAGGAGCCATGGAGGCAGAAATAAATGTTGGGAATTGTAGTTCTGGCTAGGGGTTCCCTGGCTCCTTTTTTTCCTACTTGCCATATCAGTCTCCCAAACTTCACCCCAAAACTATTATTTTTTTGTTTTGTTTTTGTGGTGGTAGGGATGGAACCCAGGGGCATTCTACCACTGAGCTACACTCACAGTCCTTTTTATTTCAAAACAGGCTCTCACCAAGTTGCTCAGACTGTCTTCAAACTTGTAATCCTCTTACCTCAGACTCCCAAGTGGCTGGGATTATAGTCATGTACCACTGTGCCTGGCCTCTAACCAAAGTTGTTAATTATCATGTTACTTCAGATCTCTAGCAAACTCCTGCAAAAGCTTCCTCCTGGCACCCTTGATTATGAGAACCTCTACCCTATACCACCATCTTTTTAACTCTGAGCTTCATACCTACAAGCTGTGGGTCAGTGAGGGGTTGTGAGTGCTTGGCCAGGAGCAGGCAGGAGAGGGAACCACTTCGGTCCCGAAGTTGCAGACAACCTTTATGAGATGAAGCCACCAGAACCCCGACTAAAGCCTGCAGGAAGAGGAAGGCCAACATATTAAAAACTTAATTAAACCAATATTGAACATTCACTATATGCCAGGCACTGTGTTAAATGGTAGCACTATAAAATGAACAAAAAGCACATGGTCTCTGACCACGAAGCATCTATACTCAAAGAAGACAGACATGAAAAAATACCACAATATACCGCAGTCACACATTTAGTAGGAATAAATAGGGGTTAGAGTTAAGAGACCATGCAGGGGCTGGGAATGTGGCTCAAGCGGTAGCGAGCTCGCCTGGCATGCGTGTGGCCCGGGTTCAATCCTCAGCACCACATACAAACAAAGATGTTGTGTCCGCCGAAAACTGAAAAATAAATATTAAAAAAAAAAAAAAAAAAAAAAAGAGTACAGCGACCCTATGTTAAAAAAAAAAAAAAAAAACAGAGAGAGACCATGCAGGACCTCTTGGGACAAGTTTTTTTTTTTTTTTTTTTTAATTTTAATATTTATTTTTTAGTTTTCGGCGGACACAACATCTTTGTATGTGGTACTGAGGATCGAACCCGGGCCGCACGCATGCCAGGCGAGTGCGCTACCGCTTGAGCAACATCCCCAGCCCGACAAGTTTGGTTTTACTTTATGAATACTAGGAGAACCAGAAAAGGATTTAAGCAAGATAATCCCATAGTCCATGTTAAATTTCTTCTTCTTTTTTAGTACTAGGGAGTGAACCCAGAGCCTCATGCATGCTAGGCAAGTGCCCCATCACTGAGCTTTAGCCATAGCTCCTTTTTATTTTGAGACAGGATCTCATTATGTTGACCAGGCTGGCCTCAAACCTGTGATACTTGCTGAACCTCCCAACTGTTCAGCCATGTGTCATCATACCCAGCTCTAAGTTACATTTTTACCTCACTCTTCCCTTTTTTTTGTACCAGGGGTTGAAAGTAGGGGCACTCAACCACTAAGCCATATCCCTAGCCCTATTTATTATCTATTTATTTATATTTTTTTGGTCATAGGGATTAAACCCAGGGCACTTAACTACGAAGCCACATCCCCAGCATTTTTTTAAAAGATATTTTATTAGTTATTGATGGACCTTTATTTATTTGTTTATACATGGTGCCGAGAATCGAACCCAGTGCCTCATACATGCAGGGCAAGCGCTATACCACTAAGTACAACCCCAGACCCCCAGCACTTTTTTTATATTTTATTTTGAGACAGGATATCACTGAGTTGCTTAAGGCCTTGCTAAGTTGCTGGGGCTGGCTTTGAAGTCTTGATCCTCCTGCCTTAGCCTCCTGAGCTGCTTGGATTACAGGTATGTGTCACTGTGCCTGGCTTACCTCACTCTTTTGAATTGTCACAGGGAAGATAAGTTGGTGGGGGCCAAGAACAGATGGGGCAGCTAGAAGACTATAGTCTAAATGACAAAAAGTGACAGTGACCTGGACTAGGACAGGGCAATAAGGATGGCAAAAAGAGGTAGTTCCTTAAGCCTGTAGAGCCTCTTACCTTGGCTGGGTGGAAGTCAGAAGGCAGCAGACAGAGCCAGGACCAGGCCAGGCGGTTATTGAGTTGGCATGTGGACAGGTGGGCAGCCTCTGGGAGAGGCAGAAGTACCTTTGGGTCAAAGGAGGCCCAAGCCCTACACCGTCCTTCCTTTTCCAGAGTGTCCAGAGCTGGGAAAGAGTAGGGAATCTGCAGCCGAGCATACTGTCAAGGAGAAGAGAAATCAAATTGTGTCCTCTGTGCCCTGGGGTCCTTCAGTGCATTGGTTCTGCCGCCCACCTTTCCCTGCATCCTCATACTTTCTGGAGGGGACAGTGATGTGGCTCTTCAAGRATCTCTGTATGTGCATTCCGAATGGATCTGCTGGACGGAGCTAGAGCATCCAGGGTGGGAGCCAGGAGTTGTAATCCCAGACTGGGGTTTCCAGGAGAGGAATGCTGCAGGAACTGCTTGTGTCTCAACAAGTGGGGACATAGCCTTGACCAGGGAAAGAAGCACAGTCACTTCCCTCAAAGACCCTGTTCCAGGTTCCTGTTTCCCTTCCAGAGAAAGTATCCTACTCCCGAACCCATACCCTCATCCTTCTCACTTGCAGGCCAGCTCCTCCAGGGCCTTGACAGCCCACAGGTAGAGGGGAAGACCTAACTGCCATTCCCACACCAACTGCTCATACAGGGAAGCCCCATGAGCTTGGTGGGACGACTGTCTTCCAGGCTTCTGACAGGAAAAACCCCGAAGCAGGATAGCTCCACGGAGGCAGGATGCTAGCACTGGTCTTGTTGTCCCTCCACCCACCGACTGGAGGAGGTGAACATCCTGGAGCTGCAAAAAAATGAAAAAGTGAAAAAGCAAAAAGTGAAGACTGAAGTCAGTGACCCCAGGCAGGGTAACTAGTCTCTGCTACCTGGGTTTCAGGAGAAAGGAACACGACTTCCCCTATGTTGGCTACTATTTCCTTTCAGACTTCACACCTCTCCTACCATCACAACCCATTTCCCGAAGTCAGTATCATCTCCCATGTGCTTTAGAAAGCCTTTGCTCTTTCTGAGGACCAGGTAACCCCTGGCTGAATAGGTGTGGCTCTGTCTTCTTCCTAGGCTCCTGGTCCTAGACCTGTGCTTTAGCCATCTCTTCCCCTAATCAGAAGGCCTTCTGTGAAGAAGCTGCTTTGACCCCAACCCCTCCTCCCAGAATTTAAGATTACTCCTTTTCTTTCTAAGCTCTTGTCCAAATCATTTTTTAAGAAAAGCATTTCCTTGAATACTTGTTATTTGTATGTTCTTGCAACAGAGTTTCTCATCCAGCTGCAAAAAACGACTAGCCTATGAAGGTAAGAAAAGTTACTGGGAGGGTCTCTTTGCAATCAGCCCTGATCTCTCACATACCTCCAGGCGGACCCCTGGTCGCATCACCCGCCTGAGGGCACGGAACTGCTGATATGCAAGGCAGAGCCCTAGCTGCCCATCCAGTTCATAGAGGCCAGCAGGCTCATTCAACACACCAGTGACTGTTCCCTGCAAAGAGTCCAGAAGTCCAGTTGGTCACCATCTGCTTACTCTTGTATAACCACATTTCCTGTCCTACAAGCTGTAGGATCTATCTCTTCCTCAGGCTTACCATATAGTTTAAGAGTCTAGAATCCCGCATAAGACCTTTTGGACCCTTCTTGTCCTGGAAGTTGCTGGATGTGGGATGTGATTTGGAATCAGCCTCCAAGAAGGGTCCTTCCAGCTCCAGCTCTTGTACACGTCCTGGTTCCAGCAGCATCAGATGGGAGGAGGAACTGGTCATCCAAACACAGTAATGGTAACCAGGGATCCTGGATACTCGCAGTTGTGTCAGTACATAGGCCTTACCAGGCCAAAGAGCATGGTGCCACACCAGCTGGGCAGGGATCTGGCTTACAGAGAGGTAGGTAACATGGCACATGAGATGCTCCCTACAGCACCATCCTTTTGTCAGTTCCTTCCTATTATAATTTAACCTCAAAGACCTGTTTCTCTTGAGACTTCTATCTTAATTTTCCCTGTTTACCAATTAAATCTTAAGCCACAGAACTTTCAGGATCTCTCCTGTCTCACAGGAGAGGCCAAATATTTCCTAATTCCTTCCACAAGATACAAATCATCCCTAAAACTTCCTTTAGAATACATAAATACTCTATTAAAAAAAATTTTTTTTCAAAAACAGGTTTCCTAAATATGTGTGCTAACATTAACATATAATGCTTTTTGTTTGTTTTAGGTACTAATAATTGAACCCAGGGGTACCCTAACACTGAGCTGCATCCCTAGCCCCCTTTATTTATTTGTTTATTTATAGTTTTTAATTTTTATTACACACTGAGTTTTCCAGAAATGTAAATACCACATAGTTGATAATATATTATACTTTGTTTTTATCAGTACTTTATTTACTTATTTTTTTTGAGAATTTCAATATTTATTTTTCATTTTTCAGTGGACACAACATCTTTGTTTGTATGTGGTGCTAAGATCAAACCCAGGCCACATGCATGCCAGGCGAGCGCGCTACCGCTTGAGCCACATCCCCAGCCCTTATCAGTACTTTATTAAGAATAAAAGAAAACATTTTCAAGAAAAGCACATCATTTATGTCAATGCCTATCATAATATTTTAGGCATAAATATAATATACTAGTATTTATTTTAATCATATCCACAGTGTTTTTCTTTTTTTTTAAATTTTTTTTTAGATGTTGATCAACTTTTATTTTATTCACTTATTTATATGCAGTGCTGAGAATCAAACCCAGTACCTTAAACATGCTAGGCAAGTGCTCTACCACTGAGCCATAACCCCAGCCCTCCACAGTGTTTCTCTATGTGGAAACACATTTTGTTTTCAATATAGTTTCCACCTCACATTTGCTTCAGAATGAATACACATAATTTAATTAGAAATAACTATTCCTTTTTTAACCATTAGATCAATATGTTAATTTTTAGCAATACATTAATGTCTGCATTATATATGAAAGTGGGTTACATAAATACTCTGTTGATAAACATACACCCTTCTTAGCATTTCCCCTCTTCCACCTCATAATATTTCATTTATGTTAACAATATGTGTTAGGTATATATGTATCTAGTATTGGGATAGAGGTCTAGGAAAGTACAATAAACAATTCCCTTTTATCAACCATATTTCAAACCTCTGGTAAACACAGACAGAGTAATAATAAAGTAATAATAAAGCTGTATATTATCAAGTATTGAAAATAACACATTTGATAGGGTTTCTTTTTTTTTAATATTTATTTTTTATTTTTCGGAGGACACAACATCTTTGTATGTGGTGCTGAGGATCGAACCTGGGCCACACGCATGCCAGGCGAGCACACCACCGCTTGAGCCACATCCCCAGCCCTTGATAGGGTTTCAATATGCATTTGGAAAAGCCAGGCATGGTGGCACTGCCTTTAATCCCAGCTACTCAGGAGTCCGAGACAGGAGGAAAGCAAGTTCAAGGCCAACCTGGCAACTTAGTGAGACCCTGAGTCAAAACAAATCAAAATAAAGGACTGGGGATGTAACTCCATGATAAAGTAACTCTGGGTTCAACCCCTAACACTATAAGGGGAAAAAAAGGCCGGGTGAGAGGTGGGGGACAGATTATCAGGATGGACTGAATGACCAGGGAAGCCTATTGAACGAAGACGAATTAAACTGGGCCCTGAAGAATAATATAGCTGAGTAACCCTTATCTGAAATACCTGTGACCATAAGTGTTTCAAATTTTGGATTTTTTTTTTTTAAGATTCTGGAATATCTGCATATTCATATACAAAATGTCTTGGGGATGGAACCCAAGTCTAAACTTTAAATTCACTTATGTTGTACATATACCTCATACATATAGACTGAAGGTAGTTTTATCTGATATTTTTAGTGCACCTGTGTTCTAACTTCAACCCATCACATAAGGTCAGGTATGGAATATTCCACTTATAATCTGATGTTGGAGTAGTTTGGATTTCAGACATGGAATGGTCTACCCATGGTTTTTATAAGTGTAAAAGGAAGAGACTAGCACTTGAACGAGGAGGCAACAACAAAAAATGCTCACAATTCTGAATGTACAAGGCACAATTTGGGGGCAGTGAAAACACAGGTGAAGTGAGAAAAGGGAATGTTCTTGGGGTTATAAGAGGAAAAAAACAGGAGCACCACGATGAAAAAAGTCCAGAAATGCCATGCAGGGCATAATATGAACTAGAGAAAGGCAACTGCTAAAGAAATTGAAAAAACTTTTTCCTCAGGGAGTTTTATGGATAAAACTGCTCATGAATATAACTATCTTCTAGGGCATGCTCCTCCCACAGACAGAAAAGCACTGCTGCCATTCTCAGAGGCTTCAAAACACACTCATGACACTTGAACTTCACAATCATCTTGCTCAACTTCACAAAACTCCATTCTACTCAAAACCCAGCTGAGGGGTTGGGGTTGGGGCTTAGTGCTAGAGCGCTTATCTCACATGTGTGAGGCACTGGGTTTGTTCTTCAGCACCACATAAAGACAAATAAATAAAAAAAAGTATTGTGTCCATCTACAACTAAAAAAATACATATATTAAAAAAAGAAAAAAAAGCTGGGCAGGGTGGCAGGGTGACACCGACCTGTAAGTAATCCTAGCGGTTTGGGAGGCTGAGGCAGGAGGATCATGAGTTCAAAGCCAGCCTCAGCAATGGCAAGACACTAAGCAAGTTCAAGGCCAGCCTGGCAACTTAGTGAGACCCTGTCTCAAAACAAATCAAAATAAAGGACTGGGGATGTACCTCAGTGGTACATACCCTGTCTCTAAATAAAATTCAAAATAGGGCTGGGGATGTGGCTCAGTAGTAGAGTACCCCTGAGTTCAATCCCTTGTACCAAAAACAAAACAAAACAAAACAAAAAAACTAAAACCCAGCTGAATCTCACCAATCAGACCGTGGACATCACATCTCATCTTGAAATACTGCTAGACTTACTTAAAACTTATTGCTTGCTGGGCATGATGTCACACATCTGTCATCCCAGCACCTCAGGAGGCTGAGATAGRAGGGTCACAAGTTCAAGGCCAGCCTCAGCAACTCAGCAAGGTCCTAAGCAACTTAGTGAGACCCTGTCTCAAAATATAAAGGGCTGGGGATGTAGCTCAGTGGTAAAATCCTTGAGTTCAATCTCCAATACCCCTCCGACCCTCCCCTAAAACTTATTGCTTCAGGAGCTAAGGGGTATAGCTCAGTGATAAAGTGTTTGCCTCATATGCACCAACCCCTGGGTTTGATTCCCAGCACTGAATTTTGTTTGGTCATCCTAAAGCAGGAGAAAAATAAGTGATTTTGGTAATTTTTTGGGTTTTTCATGGGAATTTTTTTTTCTCAGTATGGGAATGGACCCAGGGCCTTACACATGCTAGGTATGTTAGAGTATAGTTACCTATACTCTACTGTGGAAATATAATAACAGCCCCTGGCAATTTTTAAAAATGTCAAATACAATGAAAAGGCCACCCACTCAAATGAACTGCACAGCAGCAAAATCTATTCCCTACCTGCTTACAGACAACAACACTATCTAGAATCTTCCTTCTATGGTACTGTTCCAGAAAACAAGTCTCCCCCGCTGTCCTCCTTTCCTTTCTGGTTCCTGCTACAATGTTATTTCTATTAGAACACCTTCCATACTGAAAGGCCCCTGAATGGATCCTAATCCTCACCTGGACGATAATGGACACATGGTTGATGGCTTGGCTAACAGCTGGGGATAATTCACCAAGAGAGAGGATAAAGTATGCTTTCTTTTTACTTTTCACCAGAGCACTCAATCGAATCAGCTTCCCGGCCAGATTTTGCTTCTCACCTCTGAGCTTGCTTCTAAGAAGGAAGAGAAAGGAAAGAATGAAGGTCCGCCCTCCCCAACTTTTCTTTTTCCCTTTATACAAATGTCTTCCCTCATTGTAAGGAACAATCTGGTAAAAGGTAAAACGTCCAAAGCCCAAAGTATTATTCTAAAATCCTTCAAATTCTGCTTGCCTTCGAAGAATCCTCCTACTAACAGTCTTAATATTTTAAGCCTCCATTGTTCCCTTGATTAGGAACATTCCATTTATATGATTATCAAAACTATTATTTCCCTCTCTTCAATGAATCACCATCATCCTCCAAGCTTTACAATATTTTTTCTTTCTCTACAGGGGAAGACTTACCTATGCCTGAGCAGGCAGGATGCAATCTGTGGGTATAAGACAGGGATGGGTGTGAGAGGGCCAGGACTGATAGTCAAAGGAAATACTGGTACAGGAGCTTCCCAGAGCTCCAAGTGCCCTTCCTTTGAGGAATTCCACCTGGCAGGAGGGAGGTAACTCCAACTGGGGAACAGGAAGAGATGGCCCAACCAAGAAAGGTCCAGGTCTATGAGCTAGGAAAAAGCCAAGAGCACAGGTTAACCCGGACCCTAGTATCCAATCCACCTCTTCTATATATTAGCTACCTTGCTGCCTAGGCACCATTCCAATTTGGATCTGAAGTATCTGACCTTCCCTTTCTGCTTACCTCACAGCCCAGGCTACCAGTGTTATCTCTCACGTAGAGGCTTCCATTCCTGCATCCTTGTTCCTCTGAAAGGTCTGTTAATGTTCCTACAAGTAACAGTCGCTCCCGGGGAAGAGGGACCCCATTTGGCCTAGCCTCTGGGGCCCATGTCTGGTATGCAATGCTGCTCCAGGACAGATGGCTGCAGCATGGGAGATGCTGATAGGTCCTGAGGTTCTGTACTGAGACAAAGCTGGAGAGTGAAGAAAGCAGAGGTTTTGCAAAACGAGTTTAAGTCTAGGATACCCTCAACCCTGACTTATCCCCAAGAGAAAGGAAGGACTGAAAGGGAATATGACTAGACATGAGTTTATTTGCTTGAGTGAAAAGGAAACATTGGGAGGGGGAAGGTCTAAGAAAAAATAAAGATGAGGTCTGGGCCCAGTGACTGGAAAAGATCCAGGGAATGCAAGAAGAAAGTCTGCATCGAATATTTTGAAAAATATGGTGCCAGGGAGAACATGAAGTAGGAAAGTGGGGGAGGGGGCCCTGAAGAAATGAGTGTGTGTGGAGAATACTTTACAGATATCACAAATAGCTCCCCTGAAAGCATCTCAGCTCTTAGCTCCATAGAGAACTCCAATGGCCCCAGCCAAGTTTCCTGCATAGTATGGAATATCACAGTACTAGAGACCAGCTGGGAAGCTGAGGCTGAGATGGTGGGTACTGGATATGATACAAATAATAGTTAAATTATCAATGGGGGTATAGCTCAGTGGTACAGCACGTACTTAGCACGTATAAAGCCTGGGGGCCAATCCCTAGCACCAAAAAAAAAAAAAAAAAAAAAAGCTGGGTGCAATGGTACACACATACCTGTAATCCCAGCAACTTGGAAGGTTGAGGTACATGATCACAAGTTCAAGGTCAGTCTTAGCAACTTAGCAAGGACCTAAGCAGCTTAGTGAGATCCTGTCTCAAAAATCTCAAAAAATAAAAAATATAAAGGGCTGGAGATGGCCAGATGCAGTGGTGCACACCTGTAATCCCAGCAGCTTGGAAGGCTGATACAGGAAGATCACCTCAGCAATGGTGAGGCACTAAGCATCTCAGTGAGACCCTGTCTCTAAATAAAATACAAAACAGGTCTGGGGATGTGGCTCGGGTAGCGCGCTTGCCTGGTATGCGTGCGACCCGGGTTCAATCCTCAGCACCACATACAAACAAAGATGTTGTGTCCGCCAAAAACTAAATGTTAAAATTTAAAAAAAATAAAAAATAGACTACTTAGGGATAGATGTGTAGTAAAAATGTAAACATATTCATGGGAATAATATACCTCATGTTTAAGACAGGTTTTTTTTTTAATATTTATTTTTCAGTTGTGGTTGGACATAATACCTTTATTTTATTTATTTATTTTTGTGTGGTGCTGAGGATCAGACCTAGGGCCTCCAATGTGCTAGCCAAGCCATCTATCGCTGAGCCACAACCCTAGCCCCAAGGGGTTTGTTTTTGTTGTTGTATTTGTTTTGAGATATAATTGCTTGTTGTCAAGATATCCTTGCTAAGTTGTCAAGGCTGACCTCAAACATGTGATCCTCCTGACTCAGCCTCACAAATAGCTAGGATTATAGATGTGGATAACAGAACCTGTCTCCAAGATAATGGTCATTTCTATGAGGAGGTAAAAAAGTTTCTTTCTGCAGAACTTTTCAGAGCTCTGGATATATTAATAAGCCCTGTGACTCGCCCAGAGAATGTTATTATATTCAGAACCTCTCAATTTATTTAGCCATGAAATTCTTTTCTTGTGGTATTTTATTAACATTGCCTCGTACAGTTTATGAAATGGTAGTGTAGAAGAAAACCCAAATTAATTTTTAAAAAAGCTCAGAAACCTAACTTCAGGTCTTAAAAACAATAATCCATATTTCATAAAGTCAACATCTCTTTGTATCTAAGTTTCCAAATACACAAAAATGAAAAGAACACCAGCTTCTCTCCCCACTTTGAGAGCTCTTTTTCCAAATTTTCTATTTTTCCCACTTCTTTCTTCCTCTCCTTTTCCGTAAACTTGACTTAAGCCAATTTAGGAGAATTTTAGGAAAAGGAATGTTAGATGGAGAATAGGAAAGTTCTACAGAAGAGGTTGTATTTAGACCACTGTGTTCTCCACTCACTCTTTTCACGTCCCCTCTTTATAACTATAGGTAATTCCTTCTTAATCCCAAATTCATTCTTCCTGCCAACCTCCACTTTCATACCTGTAGCTGAGGGGCAGTGTAAAACCTTGGTTCTTCCCCTGGGACAACCAAACAGTCTTCACACAGTCAATCACTGACTGAGTGAACTGGACATTAGGTCCCTTGCCAGTTGGACAAAGGCTCTCTTGGATGAAGGTCTGGGCAGCTTCAAGCCAGGCTTGCTCCTGAGGAAAAGTAAATCTGATTATAACATTTTAATGACTATTCTGGCCCCAAGGAATCTTTTGGGAATAAAGGAATAGGGGGAAAAAAATCCAGAGGGCATAAGAAATGAAGATCAAAAGTATAGTTATTTAGAACTTGAAGCCTTAAGTCTTAGTTCAGGGCAGGAATGTAGTTCCCTGGTAGAGCACTTGTCTAGTCTGTGCAAGGCCCTAGACATTCTATCCCTAGCACTGAAGAAAAAAACAAAAACAAAAGGAAAGGACATACTATCCTATAATACATAAAAATATGCCTCCTGATAGTGGACAATACACAAAAAAAGACATAAGCAGAATATAATTTGTAATCATTTCTTTTTTCTGTTGTGTGGATTTGAGTTACTAAAAGCTAAATACACACAAAAATATACTGGCCTCAAACTTAGGATCCTCCTGCCTCAGTCTTCCCAGTCCTTGGGATTACAGACATGCATCACTTAGCCTAGCTCTTCTAGCACTCTTTAATGCTCTGTTCACTAACTTAGCATACAGAACAAACAAAAAATATTGTTTTATCCGAAACTAGAATGCACTCCTTAAGTCTTTCCTTTCCTAAACAAGATCAGTCCTTCAGATTCTCTTTATTATCTTTTTTATCCTGTCTTCACCTCTGGAACCTTCAACACTGCTGCCATCCTTGGGGCCACCATCCTCTTTCAGTGCATTTCAACCATAGCTTTCCAACTCTCCACACTGCAACTTAAGCAAAGTAAAACCCAAATCTCACCTACTCTTCTGCTCCAAATCCGCCAAACAACTCCCAGTAAAAAGTGCTGTTCAGCAAGACATGGATCCTTCCAAAGCCCATTCCCAGCTGAACTTATTTTTTCTAAAGACACCTACTCTCTCTCTCTTGCTGTTCAACAAGTATTTACTTGCGTCCACCTTGTAACGTCTGCAGTGCGGTCTTGCTTTGCTAACTACTCCTACACACACTGCTAGACTGAAGCTTTTCCTTTTCCTGTACAGCTGCGTCAGGGGTCTCCTTCAGAAATCCACATCCCCAAGCTCCCCCATTAACCTGCTCCTGGTTTGCCACTAGAGTGGATGGGGACGCGCTTAAGGTTCATAGCGGGCGCCGCACCAATAACCTAAAAATATTCGCAGAACCAGTGAGAGAAGTAGGAGCAAACTGACTGACAGTCCCCTCACCCCGCGACCACGACCAGGAGTGTCGAGAGGGCAGAGAGACATAATGGAAGCAACATGAGCGGAAATAAAATCTAAATCAAGGAAAAAGGGGCAGGGGGACCAGAAAGCAGCACTCACGGAGCTAAGAGCCTGAGCCTGGCCAGCCGCCATGATGCGCCAAAGCTCCGCCCCTGAAAAACGCGCGAACGCGGGGCGCAGGAGACCACCGGAGGCCTCTTGATGGCGTCATCTGAGCGCGCCCTGGCTCCTCCCACTTCACGTCCTCAGGATCCTTCTCAGTTTTTCTGGCTGGGCTCCCCAAGTTCGCCATCTCAGTTCTACCGTGATTTCCTGTCTGGCGTTTTTTAGACTTCCACGTGGGATGTTGTGGGAGAGCTCAGAAGCTCAGACACCGCCCACATGATTGATAATTCCTAAGCATCTTTCAGTCTTCCTGATCTTGCCGGAGAAGAGCTTCCTCCTTAATGCAGTTAGATCACGTGGTCCATACTTGTGTCATGGCCTTAACTCACATAGAATTTAACTCTTCCCCCACTCGATTGTGAGCTCCCAGAAGTCAAGAACTTTGTTCTATCTTTGTATTCTGGTGCCAGGAATAGTACTTGTTGCTTAAAAAAAAAACAATTGACGAAAAATTGTGGATTAATGAAAACTTCCTGATCTTCCAATTCAGTAGACCCGCCAGTCAGTGCACAGCTTTGTAGACTGTGGAGAGCACAGAGGCAAAATATGTAGAATGTTAATAATAAGTTTATGAAAAGAAAAGTAGAAAATGCAGGGGGGTGATGTGTTTCATTTGCATAATGAAAGTCTTACTGAAAAGACTAAAAAAAAAAAAAAAAAAAAAAGTAAAGCGTTGAGTGAAGCCCTTGCAGTGGTCCACACCTGTAATACTAGCTACTTGAGAAGCTCAAGTGGGAGGATTGCAAGTTCAAAGCCACTCAGCAAAACCCTGGAATTATTGTCTCAAATAAAAAGAGCTGAGCCTGGTGATGCCTGAAATCCCAGCGACTGGGGAGGCTGAGGCATGAGGATGGAAAGTTGAAGGTCAGTATCCATATTTGATAGAGACCCTCAGCAACTTGGGAGCCTAGAGCCTAAGCCCTAGGCATGGTCACCATTGTTGGGCGGTGGCTCGGCCCTGTTCTGGCTCTGTGCCCAACATTATTTATTTTACTTATTATTTATAAATAAGAGAGTTTGGAGGACTAGCATGGGGGTGCACACTTGTAATCCCAGAGGCTTGGGAGGCTGAGGCAGGAGGATCATAAGTTCAAAGCCAGCCTCAGCAATTTAAGGAGGCCCCAAGCAACTTTGTAAGACTCTGTCTCAAAATAAATAAATAAAAAGGGCTGAGGCTGTGTCACAGTGATTAAGCATGTGTACATTCAATCCTCAGTACTAAAAAAAAGTGGGGTTGGGGATGTAACTCAATGGTAGAGCACCCCTGGAATCAATTCCCAGTACTGAAAAAAACTTGAAGATTTGAAGGAGGTGAAGGATATGAATGTTGGGAATCAGGGAGAACAAACTGAGGGAACAAGGACAAAGACCCTGTGGTGGGAAGAAATGAAGGAAGTCAATGAGGCTAGAGGGGAGGAGTAGAAATTAAACAGCTACCAGACAGAGGCATTTAAGGCTGCAGTAAGTATAAGCCTGCTTCAAATCATTTTCAGAATGAGAACAAGCCTCAATTATAAAATAGTATAAACATTTTAGATAACAAGAATGCTCTAGTTTTTTAATGGGAGAATAAAAAGCCTTCAACTTGACAGGTGCAGTGGTGAGCTCTGGAGACTGAGGCAGGAAGATTACAAGTTCAAAGCCAGCCTCAGCAATTTAGCATAGACTATCTCTAAATAAAATGTAAGAAAGGACTAGGACTCTGGTTAAGTGTTCCTGGGTTGAATCCCTGGTGCCAAAAACAAAAAAACAACAACTAATTCTACATCTACAAAACCAACTAAGTCTACCTCCTCATTCAACTTGTTTGCTTTTTTTTTTTTTTTTTTTTTTTTTTGAGGGGGTACTAAGGACTGAATCCAGGGGCACGTAACTACTAAGCTATATCCCAGGTCCTTTATGTTTATTTATTTATTTTTATTGTGAGACAGGTCTTGCTAAGTTGCTGAGGCTGGCTTCAAACTTGTGATACTTAACCTTCCCAGTCACTGGCATTACAGGCATTCACCACTAAGACTGGCTCAACTTATTTAAAAAAAATTTTTTTTAATTTTTACTATGGTCATGCACCACCACAACCAGTTCAACTTTATTTTTGTTTGTTTTGCAATGCTGGGACTCTAAGCCAGGGCCTACATGTATATGAGGCAAGTGCTTCGGTACTGAGCTACAGCCCCAGCTCCTTAACTTCACTTTTGGTGGAGATCTTCTCTCTATTCTATATTTGATGCACTAGATATGCACTGTGATGACAAGTTCTTTTTTTTTTTTTTTTTAGAAAGAGTGAGAGAGAGTGAGAAAGAGGGAGAGAGAGAGAGAACTTTAATGCWTATTTTTTCAGTATTTGGCGGACACAGCATCTTTGTCTGTATGTGGTGCTGAGGATCGAACCCGGGCCGCACGCATGCCAGGCGAGCGCGCTACCACTTGAGCCACATCCCCAGCCCTGACAAGTTCTTTATATAAGAAATTTTGGGAGTTAAGTGCAGTGGCATGTGCCTGTAGGCCCAGCTACTGGGAGGCCAAGGCTGGAAGGATTGCTAGAGGAGAGGAGTTCAGGGCCAGCATAGGCCACACAGTGAGACCTCATCTCAAAAAATAAATAAATAATAGACAAATAAATAAATAAATATAAAATAAAAACAAAACCTTACTGGACATCAAATGAATATTTGTTTTGTAATTATTTATTATTTTCCATATTACATTAGACATGTGCTACTTAGCTTTCAACCAGAAGAAGGAGGAAGAAGCAGAATGAATGAATGAATGAATAAATAAATAAATAAATAAGTAAGTAAATCTACTAGAAGCTGAAACTGAAATTCTCCCATGCCACTATCCACTGACATTTTTATTAAAGCATTTATTGGACCTAGCCAAGGCCCCTAACCTAATCTTTTTGCTTTCAGTATTTTCTCAACTCTGACAGACTCTCCTCTATTTATTTATAAATACAAGGATGTGCCTCATATCTTGGGATTTACCTTTTATTTTTTCCTCTAGTGGCCCTGGGCCTCATACAGTAGGTACTGTACCATTCAACTACATCCCTAGTTTTTTTCTTTATATAATGTTTTTAAAATGTTTTGTTGTTGTTGATGGACCTTTATTTTATTTATATGTGTGCTGAGAATCAAGCCCATATACTAGGCAAGTGCTCTCCCACTGAGCTACAACCCCTGCCCCGTCCCTAGTCCTTTCTAATTTTTACTTTGAGTCAAGGTTTCACTAAGTTGTCCAGGATGGCCTTGAATTTAAGACTATTGCCTCAGCTTAGATCCCAAGTATCTGGGATCACAGGTGTGCACTACCACATCTGGCCTAGGATTTACTTTTTTTTTTATTTTTATTTTTTAGTAGTAGGTGGACACAATATCTTTATTTAATTTTTATGTGGTGGTGAGGATCATGTTTGCTAGGTGAGCACTTTACCACTTTACCACTGAGCTACAAACCCAGCCCCTGGGATTTATTTTTGATGGTTTATAGAAGGAAGAGCTAAATTTGGGCTATAGTGGTTGCAGAAAGCTGTATTGAATCCACCACCACCCCATAGTTAAGATTTATTTTTTGCAGTGCTAGGGGAAGAACCCAGGGTGCTCTAATGGTAGTCAAGGACTCCCATGAAAAACAAGGCCTCTTAGAATTAAGGGACAAATAAGACAGTCAAGCTAGTTCTCAGTCTCTCTCTCTCTCTCTTTTTTGGTATGAGGGATTGAACCCAGGGGCACTTAACCACTGAGCCACATGTCCAGCCCTTTTTAATATTTTATTTAGAGACCCTCTCACTGAGTTGCCTAGTGCCTCACTAAATTGCTGAGGCTGACTTTGAACTCATGATCCTTGTGCCGAAGCCTCCTGAGCCACTAGGATTACAGATACACCCCATTGCACCAGGATAGTTATGAATTTTATAAGGTTAATAGTCATACCAGAACATTAGGATTTAAAAAGTGCATCAGTTTTCAAGGCCATGGGAGTGAGGTAGGATGGAAGAAATAAGGATAGGTAAAAAGATAAATAGGGAAGGCAAGAGGAACTAGAGCTTTAAATCTAAAAACTTCATGACTGACCTCACCTTCACACCCACATCTATTTCCTTCCAGATCTGAATTCTTAAAAAGTCCAGTTAATCTTAGAGTACTGTAAATCCAGTTAATTAGTGCCTATGTACTTTGCTAGTTTACAGAATATATTTTTATACTGATTAAAAGAAGCTTAAAGTGGGGTGGGGCATGCTGGCTCAGGCCTATAATCCCAGCAGCTCAGGAGGCTGAGTCAGGTTTATCAAGTTCAAAGCCACCTTCAGCAATTTAGTGAAGTCCTAAGCAACTCAGTGAGACCCTCTCTCTGAATAAAATATAAAAAAGGGCTGGGGATGTGCCTCAGTAGTTAAGCACCCTTGGTTTCAATCCCCAGTCAAAACCGACCAAACAAACAAACAACAAAAGAAGAAATAGCTTGTCATATAGCCAGGTATGGTGCACACCTGTTATCCCAGCAGCTCAAGAGGCTGAAACAGGAGAATCACAAATTCAAAGCCAGTCTCAGCAAATTAGCAAAGCCCTAAGCAAATTAGTGAGACCCTGTCTCAAAATAAAAAATAAAAAGGGCTGGGGACATAGCTCAGTGGTGAAACACCTGTGGGTTCAATCCTTGGTTCCAAAATAACTAACTAAATAAAAGAAGATTAAAGAGAGATATTGATAGACACATAATATTGAAGCCAGATTTAAAGATAGATAGTTAGTGTAGTTAGGTAAATCGATTCTAATATAGAGTAAGATAAATAAAATGGAGGCCATTATGGAGAATGGAGTCCAGGAAACCAGAGCAGCACTTGGGGAAATTGAAATGTTAATGTCCCCAAGGCTAGAACCCTTCCTAAGGAACTGTTAAAGAGACAGCTCCCAGCAAACAGGGAAGTGTTAATGAAACTACCCCAGGCCCTTCCTGCCCACATTACTCCTTCAGCCCACCTATCTCCTGCCTTTTGGCCTTCTCACTTGCATTCTA